CTGAGAAAGAGAGAAGGAGGCGATTCCTTTGGGGGGGGGGGATCTAAGGTGGGGAAAACACGGGACGTGGCCGAGACGAGGCAGCGGGAATTTCGGTGTCTTTGCTGGGTCTCCAGGAAGGAAATCCCCCGAAAGAGAGGGACGGTCGGTCCGCGGGTGGCTGGGTGGGCTCCCACGCATGCAACCCACCCCCGGGCTTGGCTCGGCCTGCTTCGGCCTCTCTCCTTCCCTCTCTCTCTCTCTCTCCTCACGCCGCCCCTCCGTGGCCCGCCCGAGAGGCAACGCCGCTCCCGCACCCTCCACCTCCGTGGAAAGGTTACCCGCAGGGCTGGAGACACGCCCCCGCCGCGCTTTCGCCGGCCGGCCGGCTAGCTGGCTGGCGCCAGTGGCCCCCTTCCTCGGTGCCGCCTTCGGGGGCGTCCAGCGGCGGTTCTGCTGCTCCTCGGGAAAAGGCGAGCCTCGCTCCTGCGCTTCGCGGTGCGGCGGGGACGGGACTGGTGGGGAGGGCGGGAAGGGGAAGAGATGGGGGGGCCGCGGGGCCGCTCCGGCGCACCTTTCCCTCCGCCTTTTGTTCCGCGCTGAGAAGAGCGCGACGGGCGGCCCTTGGTCCAGCCTCTCTCTCTCTCTCTCTCTCTCTCGCCCCCCCCCCGAGAGTTGCGCCTCAGACTGACAGGAAAAGACACCCTCTTCCGTCGGTGCGACTCGCCTTCCTCCCGGGGTGGGGCGCGGGGGCTTGGCGACGGCGGTGGAGAAAGCTGGGAATCTCCATAGGCTGCACTCTTGACTCACGCTTACCCAAGAGTAAGCTGTAATCGAACCAGAGGGATTTACTTCCCAGACAACACGGGCTAGATTCGCGCTGTAAAACTGGCGGCCTCCTCTTAGCGAGTGCAGAGAGGACACCCTCCTTTTTTTCCCCCCTGCCGCTTTGTTCCCTTTCTCGTTCCTTGCCGAGTTACTAACCACCACATAACGCCTTCTTGGTTCGTTTACACGCCGCTCCTTCCCTCATCCCGAAGGTTGGGAGCGGATCGCCTGGCCAAGGAATTCCCCCCCCCCTTTTCCCTCAAAGGGTCTCCCACCCGCAACATGGAGGAGGAGGGAGGGTTCCCCTTGTTATCGTAGGGGAAGGGAGGGGGGACGACGTTGTCCTCCGATCGAGCCGGGCTACTCGACTGGGGGAATTCCCGCGCAAGGATTCGCGAAGCTCCCGGATGGAGCCGTGGAGGGGGGGATCAGTTCCACCCACCAACCCACCCCCCTCTGACTCAAGGCCGACGACGTAGGAGGTCCACAGGGCTTTTCCCCTTTTTGTACGGCTGTCTAAAAAAACCAGACTTTTCCCCCAGTCTGGAGCGGATTCCAGATGTGTCGGACTACAGTCCCCATCATCCCCAACGTGGGTGGACAGGGGACAGTGGGCGTTGTAGTCCAGGACATCAGGAAGGTACACAGGTGGGAAAGTCTCCTGAAAGCAATACTAGAGTTCCTGGTTTTACTGTTTTTCCCAGATGTTTATTACGTTGATTTTCATTTTGGCTTTTGATTGGGTTGTGTTTATGTGTGTGTCCCCCCCCCTCCTTTCAGCTTTTCCTCTCAGTTGTTTGGTTTGGTTTATGCTCTAGCTCTTTATTTGCTGCTGTTTACTGCTAACTTACACTTCTCTCCTTTCATTCTCTCTGACAGCAGCCATAAACAACCGACAGACAGGCATTAGGTTCTCAAACACTGCCATCACAACAACCCACAGGAGAAGCAGGAGTCAATTATTGCTATAAGCTACTAGAAGGGCTATTCCAGAAACGCAGAAAATCTGAAATACAACCAAATAAGAGGGACTATTTGCATGTGAACAAGGTTATGACAAGCACAAGTCATGCTAAATACTCTATAGTATTCTATTTTGGCATCTTTAGCATTCAACAAGCACAAGTCATGCTAAATCCTAGTATTCTATTTTGGCATCTTTAGCATTCTCTTTTATCTGTAGTGTTGCTCTTGAAACAGAGATGTCTTTAGCATTATTTAATGAGTCAGTTTTGATGCTACAGAATGTTTGGAAGCAGTCAAACTTCTCAAGCAAGAAAACTGTTGGGATATTTGGAACCTGGTCCTCTGATGAGAGGGAAATATGCTGGTATGACTTGGATTGAAACCTAATGAAAAGTAATAAAAGGGAGATCCTGCCATGACTCTTGCTTTGCTGAAGCACTGAGACTTGGACATCTTCAGGAAAAGTAAGATATGGGATGAATTTTACATATTGATGTAAATTAGTCAGACTTTCCTTTGATTGTAGTGAATGAGTTAATACATACGTTGCTTTCAAGTTCTCAAGGACTTCCAGCAGATGTGCAGAACAGGCCTAGTCTAGGGTACAGCTGTGCACTTGATGGCCCCCAACATACACACTGAGAATGGGCAACTGAAGTAACACCCTCCAGCACTTACTGTGCAATCACTGGTACTGATAGCAATCAAAGCTGGTTCAATATGTGAAGAAGCAGGACCCTGATGAAGTGCTCTTCATTCAGCTCTATCCCACCAAACCAGCAAGCCTCACAAGTAGCACTACTGCTGTGGTGGGAAGAACCGCCACCACTGTGTGGATGAGACACCTACCATTTTCCTATTCATGTTTTGACATTCCCTTACTGCTGCACCAAAGTGTTGTTGGAATGTCAGATGTGGTTAGGAAGCCACTATCTTGATAATGTTATGTTAGAGCCCCGTGGCACAGTGGTTGAACTGCAGTGCTGCAGCCAAAACTCTCTTCTCACAGCTGGGGTTCAATAACAAGGTTGACTCAGCCTTCCAACCTTCCAAGGTCGGTAAATGGAGTACCCACCTCACTGGGTGGGGTGGAGGGCAATGCACAGCCTGCATAATTAAATTGTAAACGATCCAGAGAGTGGTTTAAGTGCTATGGAGCAGTACTGTATATAAGCAGCATGCTTTTTTTTTAAAGAAAATGTTACGTTAGAGCCCCGTGGCACAATGGTTGAACTGCAGTGCTGCAGCCAAAACTCTCTTCTTACATCTGGGGTTCAATAACAAGGTTGACTCAGCCTTCCAACCTTCCAAGGTCAGTAAATGGAGTACCCACCTCACTGGGTGGGGTGGAGGGCAATGCACAGCCTGCATAATTAAATTGTAAACGATCCAGAGAGTGGTTTAAGTGCTATGGAGCAGTACTGTATATAAGCAGCATGCTTTTTTAAAAAAAAAAGGAAGACACGCTTTGAAATCCACACAAAACAGCTCAAAAGCTAACTGAATGGCCTTAAGACGGATCATCTCCAGCATAACCCATTGCCTGGGGATGTTATGAAAGTAAACAGGGACACTGCTTGACAGTAATCATTCGTACTTTTCTCATTTCTGTTACACACTTCAGCATTTTTAAAAAATGCTTTACTATATATACCATTTCTTTTTCTTGCTCTGCTTCTGCCATTGCTGTTCTCCAGCTGGACAATAGGCAAGGGCTAATAGTGGCATGAGGTTTGCCAGGAGCAACTACAGTGCTACAAGCTCCCCTCCCTCCTTTGGAACACAGTTTGCAGCTGTTGAAAATACTTTGTGCAATCCTCCTCCTTCCATGCATGAAGCTTCTCAGCTTGTTATATAACCAATGCTTCCTCTCTCCCCCCCCCCACACTCCACTAATGAGGTCGCATTAAGAAAAGTAGCGATTCGGTGTGATTCTTCTTTGTACTGGAGGGTAGAACAAAGATCTGCATTTTTACTTGGTGTATGTGTGTGCACGCTTGCATACAGGCCAGTACAAATCTGACACAAAGGACCCTCAAATCAGAATGTTTTGCACAATTTACTCTGCTACTGTGCTGTCAAGGGTTGTGTGTTTTTTTTAATGAAATCTAATGTGGAATTAGGCTGACCATAATGCCAGCACGTGTTGGCCCTGTGCAGGTCACACAAGGAACATTATTTCATTGTGGTTTTAGGGTTTTCAGCACATCATAATTTGCGGCAACATCTTTATTTATCTAAGAAGTGCAAAGCATCTACATAGAGCCTAAGGAAGGGCATTATCTTAACGACAGCATGCTTCTTTCTTCTGCATAAATAAATATGTTGTTCCTCATCCTAGTGGGATGCTTTCCCAAGGGAGAACAGCTCATTATGGGAGTGGGGAGCAGGCACTAGATTCACAATTTGTTTCCTTTCCACGCTGGACTCTTTTGATGGATAAAGATAATATCTGATGAACTGGGCTTTTGTAAATGAAAACTCAAGCTATGACAAAATTGATAGTTTTTATGGTGCCAAATCTGATTTTAGTCTGAACTAGTGGAATCAATGGGACACCAGTTAGTGTTGACTAACAAGATTCATTCACTTCAATGGACCTGCCGTAGTTGAAAGTAACAATTGGATTTATAGCTCTTTGTAGTTTTTGCTGCAGCAGACTTAAGATGGCTAATCCTTTGGAAATAAATACATACTGTACACTGATTGATTTCCTAGAAAGCAGCAGCCATAGATTTAAAGGGCAGGACCAGCATTCAAGCTCCCTGCAGCTAGCAGAAGCTGCATAGTGACTTACTCCCTATTTCTAAAGGGACAGCTTGGGCCTGGAAGGATTTCTACTTATCTCTCTCCCAGCATCAAAGCCTGTAGAAGGGGAAATAACACATCCTGTGCCTTCATCAAACTACTTTAAGAGTTTCCTTTTACCCTGCCAAATTCTTATAACTGCTGCAATTGTTAAAGGCTAAGTACCCCCATCCATGTAAATGACAGGTAAATGACTCTATCAAGAGAATAAGCCCACACATTGAGCACACCCACACACTGAGCTGCATGTTCAGCTTATTAGCCATGCAGAGAAGTGTGCCCAGATAGGTCAAGGAAATACCTGATCTTTTGTAGTTTATAAAGAAGCACTTCCTTCTCCCCTTTCCTTCTCCCTCTGCATTTCTTTCTGCACTGACAAGAAGCTCAGAAAAATCTTTCATGCTTTTCGCTTCAATATCAAACCGGATTCCCCATGCCTGCAAATGCCTCTGGTTGCTTGCTGAAGAATGGGTTGAGAGGCATCACTTTGATTTCCAAGAGGAAGATGGGACTAAAGCCAATGCTACTCTTCAAAAGCCACATGAATTTCCGAATGACCTGCCTTTCCTCCTTAACCACAAAGAAGCCTTGCATGGGGGGGAGCAGCTTGCAGAGGAGAATGGAAGATAGGGTGTTTGGTCATGAGCCTATTCTAACCACAAGATGAGTGCATGTTTGTAACCTGGTAGGGAAGATGTTTGGTCACGAGTGTGTCTTGACAGCAGGGCGGCAGCATGTCATGACCCTGTCTTGGCAAGAACAGTTTTGGGCCATGACCTTGTCCTGACAGCAGTGGGGCAACAGAACCTGACCCAGGCAGAAAGGGTGTTTGGTGAAGAGTCTACCCACGCAGCAGGGTGACAGACAGCACAACCCTTGTACTGTACTGGCAGGTTGGGTCTGGTCATGAACCTGTCCTAGCTGCATAACTCAGGCAGGAGGGGTGTCTAGTCACAACCCTGTTGTGACAGAAGCAGAGAAACCCAACACTGTTCCAAGACATTTTGCTGCCTGAAGCACAGAAGAAAATGGCTCCTTCTCCCATTGTTTGTACTGTACAAAAGATGAATGGCCTGGCAGATGAATCGTTTTTCAACATTAGTAAAAGATCTTCAGAAAGAGAATGGAGCCTGGAAGGGCGATGCTCTAGCTGAAGAGGAAGAAGAATCCTTAACCAAGCTGGAGATCTTACTAAAGCAAGTCTCTACTCAGACGTATCAAATGTCCCATAAACCTGGGTACTGTCTGCTTGCTTGATTGTTAAACAAATTTAAGCCACCCT